ACACAAGGCCAGGATTACATATTACCGTTACAGTGATTTTAATGATTCTCCTTAATTTTCAAAAATTATTATGACAAACTTGCAAAGCTACACCGAAAGGGAAAGTATAATAATAAAGAACTCAAAAAGCTCTATTTTTAAGGTATACAAGTTCAGTATGAGCTTTTGTGATTCTGCAGACATTCAAGTGGCTTTCTGGATTTGTGTACCTTTATACATTCTGCAGTTTATCATACTGAACTTTTCCAACGGCCTCATGTAAGGTGGAGGTGCAAGGAGGTGATGGTGGGTTTGGGAGGGGGAAAAAGGGTGAGGAAGGGGAGGGAGGTAGGGGAGATCAAATTAAAGGGAGAAGGAACGAAATAGTAAAAGGGTAGAGGGAAGGGAGCGGCTCACTCAGTAGCAACTCACACACCAACACAGCATAAGACCCTTGAATACTTATCACCAGTCGTTCAGGTCATACCTCCTTTTACTCTGAATATAAGGTAACTTTTACTACTCCCACTAACATGAAATAAATAAATTATAATTTATGTCTACTGGAGCAGTAACATGTCCACTACCCACCAGTAAAAGGACACAGCATCAATTTGGGAATATGTCTGAGGCCAACGCAGGAGTATCTGGTGATGTCCCGCACTACATGATCTTGTCAGGGCCACAGTACAGCAGCAGGCCAAGTCTCATGCTATATGTTAACAGATACAGTCCTCTGTTACACTGAACACACCGTCGGGCTGTCAGTACCACTCATCCTGGCCGTGAAGATTGTCACCTCATTAGCTGCCTGTTTGTAAATATTAAACTATGAAACATCTACATCACACCTCTAACCAGTGGTAATTAATGTTAATATTACTTATACCATAATGTGAAGCATCCGGCAATAAGTTACTAGGTACTACAAGCCTTATAACATTACATGAATTACTGAGGACTATATGCCTATATACTTTATATAAGTTACTTAGGACTATATAACTATAACATTAGTTTATATCTCCCACCCAGCGAGGATAATAGAAATAATGAAATATGAGTACTTGTGATCGTAATTCAAAACTTGTGCACCAGCTGACTAACGTCTTAGGTTGACTCACTGTATCTCCTTAACTCACAGAAACAAACACCAAAGTCTCGGTGTGTTGTGGACGCCACTATAAAATAAGTAATAATATATCAAGATATGACAGTAGATACTCTTAGCGTCACTAGCCAGTGTTGCCTCTCTGTCTTAAAGAGAAATAGAGGAAAAGTCTCAACCTTACTCGGGGGTCCAGCGGGACCTTCGCTAGCATCACTCCTTGGGGGCGTGAGAACGGCTGTTCTGGCCCTCTCGGCGGAGTCCTGAAGACCCTCAGTTGCTTCAGCACCTAAGGAGATTGGCGAAGAAGGGTGGCCTATGGGATCCAATCGGCGGAGTTCCTGACGGTTCCGGGCTGCCCTTGCCAATACATGCTAGCAGTGTTTCGTAAGTAAAAGTATTTCGGCCTAAACAATCTAAATTTTTAATGGCCATTAATGTTGTTCCTCGTGCCAGCAGCCGGGCCCACGATCACTTGTTACCATCTATACCACTTACAGATTGATCATAATTTCATAATTGAAAGAAAATTAACTACTGCTACGCTTCAGGATTCACTTCCCTTAAGGATGACGTTGCATTAAGACACATAAAAATAACTACTTTGTGTTATAATAATAAGCCACCTTTTATTGTCTGTTGTCACTCTTAGTTGTTAATGGCACCTGACACCTTAATAGTACAGCAGTCTGATATGATGAATTACCTGTAGGGGTCATAAATATGCCCGGCTCTACAGTGTATAGCATCATGACTTGTTTTATTAGTACATGGGATATTTCTCAATGTATATGGATAAAATTTGGAACTTGTATTATATGAACTAATGAACAAATTCTCATCTTTCAGTTTTTGTAATATAAACAATGAGATTCCTTAGACTAGGTACAAGTAAAAAATAAAATATTTTCCTCTCCTATGGTACGATTGTATATATCAATTGAATATTTAAACGCGTTATGTTATGACTCATAACATATCGTTGCTCATAAGTTATGAGCAACGATAGCCTACTGTTTCACTGACAATAATTTGACATAAGATACAATAATTTAAAATAAGGGATTTTCAACAGCCTATTGATTACTGAACCGTGTATATCAAGTTATCTCAAGAACCTAGAGTATGGCGCCTCCCTCACTACTCTCTGAAACAGCTTCAGTAAGTAAGGCTGCAGTTCAGATGCGAACTTTCAAGAGTTCTATGTAGTATTGTACATTAAGCTGTGGTTTGCACACACTGTCCTGTCAGGAGCCTTGAGTTTCATACACGTACACACATTAATTTTGTTTTGCTAACTATCAGTATGTAATTTCAACCTAACCTAATTATCAATGAGTTATTTAACCTAACATAATATAACCTAAACTACTTATGCCAACCCAACATAACCTAAGAAATCGACCCAACAAAACTATCATGAAATAATTCAACCTAACCTAACCTAACCTAAGCTCATATTTGTCTCCGGCTGAAGTATACCTGACCACCTTTATGTCGTCCCATTAGGAAGCTGATGAGTCTGTGTTATATTTGTTCCTCATTACAAAACGAAATAAATCTTTAAATAATGGTACAGCGGACGACACACACCTATTGCTGTGTTTGGTGACGCGTTGGTTAATGGTGACATGTTGGTTAATGTTGACTCGTAGGTTAATGGTGACGTGTAGGTTAATGGTGACGTGTAGCATAAGAGTAAAGTGCTGGTTAATGGTGAGGTGTTGGTTAATGGTGACGTGTTGGTTTATGTTGACCTGTTAGTTAATGGTGACGTGTTAGTTAATGGCAACGCCTTGGTTAATCGTGACGAGTTGATGGTTAATGGTGACGTGCTGGCTAATGATGACGTGTTGGTTAATGATCTCCCCACTTCATTTTGCTAAGGGTCAAGACTCGTGTTCCTGCCTCACTTCCAACCTACACCGCCTCACTCACCCCTCTGGCAGGTAACACACTCTGGTCCCGCACCCCTCTGGCAGTTAACACACTCTGGTCCCACAACCCTCTGGCAGGTAACACACTCTGGTCCCACAACCCTCTGGCAGGTAACACACTCTGGTTCCACACCCCTCTGGCAGGTAACACACTCTGGTCCCACAACCCTCTGGCAGGTAACACACTCTGGTCCCACAACCCTCTGGCAGGTAACACACTCTGGTCCCACAACCCTCTGGCAGGTAAAAAAAAAATAACACTTAGTTAATATTTGTTAATGTTAGGTTAAGTTAGTTTAACTTTTCTATTTCACAATTCATTAATACCTAATATGATGAAGTACATGATCGCCGATGGCCAGTTAGAAGCTTAAAATAATACATAGAAGTTATCGATATTAGGCAATTATCCCTGTTTAGTTTAAGCTTTTACAAATCATCAATCGTTTTTGTCAAATAGAGATAACTTTTTGGTTTTACTACTACAACTTAATATAAATTCGTATATTGTAAGATTTTGTATATTTCTTTTCAGGACTTGCTTACTGCCATATGATGTTTAATTTATACTTTAAATAGGTTAGGTTAGGTTTGGTCAGGTCAGGTTACATTTTGTTTGAAGGTATTCATTTATTTGTACATTTATGATCTACAGGATCGTTTATGGCCGGTGAAAAGTTTCCCAAAAAGAGAAATACCTAGAATTTATCACTAACCGTCAATTATGCATATTTAGTGTAACATATAGTATATATTCCGTTTATATTTGTTTGTTTTCATATTATTTTAGTCAATTATTTGTTGACATTAAATTACAATAAGTAAATATTATTAAAAACAACACTGAAAAACACACAAGTGACTTTGTAACATATAATTAGGTCAAGATAATAATACAAATACAACGTGCTGGTCAATCTCCGAAAGAGTTGTCCGGGGGTCTAGCTAACCTCTGGTCGGGGCTTGACCAGCACGAAAAAAAACAAAAAATTATTTTGGTGATACGTGGTGTAATGGTCAGCATGCTCGACTTTTAAGCGAGTCGACCCGAGTTCGATTCCCAAGCAGGGTAGGACTGTTTTTTTTTTTTTTTTTTTACGTCATTTGTCTCTGTCGACCCAGCAGTAATTAGCGACCTGGATGTTAATCGATTAGTGGATTGTGATCGGGATAATGGTTAGCCAGTGCAGTTGGCGAGTTGTCCAGTCTTCTCGGATTATTCCTTGACGCTAGGTCATGCAACTCGTTAACTTAGGGCAGTGATTCCCAACGTGGGGCCTACGCCCCACTGGGGGGCAATTCAATAATAATAGGGGGGCAATATGAAAAATATAGTAATATCAACATTTTTTTTTATTTTACCCTATATGGGTAAAAATTATAAATTTATAGGGTAAAATTGTAATTACAACCTAGCTGAGCACAACAGCTTGTGCAATCTAGTCAAGTGTTCACCCACTAATGTTATCGTGCATCTGGCACCAGCTATATGCGTGGCTTCTGACTTGTTTAACTTTGCAGTTCTTCATCTGCTGTCAAGGAAGAAGGTGAGTTTTAGTCAGCTGCTCAACGCTCCCACTGAAGCTAAAAAAACAGAGGAAACTAACTACAACCAAATTAAATGTGCACAATAAAGCATGGAAGCAGTATTGAATTAAACACAAATGCAAGTTTCATGTTGATATAGTTATCTGTCTCTGTTTTTTAGCTTCACTGAGAGGGCTGGTTAAAGTGCTTTTCATTATGATTAATGATCTTGTTATTCTCTGAAAATAATGTATAAAAATAATCATTCATTGATCTTGTCACAGTAACATTAATTTAAAACTGTGAATATAAAGCTCAATATTTACTTGAAATGACAACTGCATATTGACATTGTGCCTTGTATGTTACAGAAGTTAGATATTAAATTTATTTTCCTAAGTATATAAATATTTTATTTTCACTTTTCAGTTACCCCCATGATGCATAAAATGAACAGTGTGCACGCCAAAATAAAAGTTTGCCAGTATTCAGATGAGTACTTGCTGTTTGGGTTCATACCAGCGACTCATGATGAAAGGTTGCCTTTTTGTCTGTTGTGCCACCAATGTTTGACTAATGAATCCATGAAGAGAGGTCGTCTCGAAAATCATTGGAAGGCAAAACACAGTTTTCATGTTAATTCAAAACTGGAGTATTTTAAATCCCTAAAGGAGAAGTTTGAAAAAAGATCCACAATAAATTCATTGTTCTCTGCAAGAAGTGCAAGCAAGGATCGTGGTCTTGAGGCTAGTTATGAAATTTCTCTTCTCATAGCAAAATGTGGCAAAAATCATACAATAGGGGAGAATTTAATTAAGCCCGCAATATCAACTTTTCTGAAAGTAGTTCTTGAAAAAGATGACCAAGATCTCAAAAGCATGCCGCTCAGTAATAATACTGTTAGTAGCAGGATTGATGAAATGAGTTGTGATGTAGAAGTACAACTTGTTGAAAAATTAAAATATACAAATTTTTCAATACAGTTGGACGAATCAACTGTAAGAGATAGTGAAGCTCTGTTAATGGCCTATGTAAGATATGTTGATAATGGAGAATTTATTGAGGATATGCTATTTTGCGAAGCATTAGAAACCACCACTATTGCAATTGATATATATAAAAAATTAAAAACATATTTAGATGATAAGCAGATACCAATGGAGAACATTATATCTTGTTCTGCAGACGGTGCTCCAGTGATGATGGGCAAGAAAAATGGAGTTTTAAAATTATTGAAAGACGACAATCCCCAAATGTTGTTAGTGCATTGTGTTATTCATAGACAGAATTTAGTTTCCAAAAAAGTTTCCCCTGTTCTAAACGAGACATTGAATGCAGTTATAAAATGCATCAACACTATAAAAGCTAATGCCAAATGTGAGCGTCTTTTCAAACAATTTTGCAAGGATCAAAATGCAGACTATGTAAGATTATTACTTCATACTGATGTAAGGTGGTTATCAAATGGGAATTGCCTGAAAAGATTCATGGAATTATTTGATATTCTTAGTGAGTTCTTGGATGACAAACCTTATATGACTCTGTTACTGACAGTTGATGGTAAAGCACTTGTCAGTTATTTAGCAGATATATTTGAAAAACTCAATCTCTTAAATAAGGAGCTCCAAGGAACAAATATGACTCTTGTTAATTCAAAGGCCAAGATATTTGGCTTTATATCATTTCTGGAATTATCCCAAGAAAATATTTCTGTCAAAAAATTTGAACAATTTTATTGGCTGAATAAATGTGAGGTAACAGATGCTACTTGTCTTGTTATTGTGGAGCACTTAAAAAAATGGTAAGCGATTTCAACTTCAGATTTTCTGATTTGAAAGAAATTAATTATCCATCTTGGATGACTCAGCCATTGCTAGTGGATCTGTCAGATGTAACCATGGAGTATCAAGGAGAACTTTCAGAATTACAAAATGATGACTCGATTAAAGCCCTGTTCAAAATAAAAGGAACAATGATGTGGCTCTGTGAAGAAACACAAGCTAAATATCCAAATACAAGTAGTTTGGCAAGAAAACTACTGTTACCATTCCCATCGTCATACTTAGTGGAATGTGGATTTAGTGCTGTGAATGACTTATTACTGAAGAAAAGAAACTGACTGGATATCACTAAACGAGGCGACTTGAGATTGAAATTAACAACATTTCTGCCTCGGATAAAATCTCTTTGCAGTAGACATCAGGCTCAAGGGTCTCATTAATTGATTGTAATTGAATTTATTTAATCTGATGGTAGATATGTTATACACATTATAAAATGGATTTTATTTGATTAAATTTGAAGTTAAACCCTTTAGTTTTATTTGAAAGATACAATTTTTTATGTTATACTTCTTCAAAACTGATATTGTTATATCATACTAAACAATTAACGGGTGGGGGACATGAAGAAATTTGTGATAAAAAAGTGGGGCATGGTACTAAAATGGTTGGGAACCACTGACTTAGGGTGTGGTAGTTGTGTTGTCTATAGCTTCTACACGTTAAACAAATTCACGCCTTGGACCGGCCCATCCTCGTACACGAGGGGCAACCATTAAAATTACTTGAGTAAATGTTATAAGTATATACTGCAGTTAGTCTATAGTATAAAAGACAAAGAACATCAAAATATATATATTTAGTTCCAGGGTTTATTTAGTTATTTATTACTTGCACTTATTACTGGTATTTGTTTTCCTCTCTTCTGTATAGTTTAAATCTTTACTGTTGTTTTGAGTAACTTTAGATTTAATTATTTTTCTCCGAAACTTACGTCTTTTACATTTTTTTCAGAATACATCATAATATCATATCACCCATGATGATTATCCTGTATGTAAAACGAAAAAAATGATAACACTTAGTTAATATTTGTTAATGTTAGGTTAAGTTAGTTTAAGTTTTCCATTTCACAATAATTAATACCTAATATGATGACGTACATGATCGCCGCTGGCCATTCAGAAGCTTAAAATAATACATAGAAGTTATCGATATTAGGCAATTATCCCTGTTTAGTTTAAGCTTTTACAAATCATCAATCGATTTTGTCAAATAGAGAAAACTTTTTGGTTTTATTATTACAACTTAATATTAATTCGTATATTGTAAGATTTTGTATATTTCTTTTCAGCCCTTGCTTACTGCCATATGATGTTTAATTTATACTTTAAATAGGTTAGGTTAGGTTTGGTCAGGTCAGGTTACATTTTGTATGAAGATAGTCATTTATTTGTACATCCTCCTACACTCATTTTCGTCTCCTAACTTCGTCTAACAATAACGTATAAAAGTTTCTGACCTGAAATGTATCGCCAAACTCCTTTAAGTTTGTCCCTGTGAAAGTTTCTAGCGACGAGGAATAAGTTTCAGAATATATCACTTGTGGGGGTACTGGTGTAACATTAATCGGGCACTTTTTTTCTACGAGAGGCGTATAAATACTTCTGATCAGGGAAGTTATTATCAAATTTCACAGGCTTAGCGAAGTAGAAGCTTATGTACTGAAGAACTTTTGAACTTGTCAAGACGCAAGAGAGGGAGGTATGTGTGTGTGAGTGTGACTGCAATTTTCCTCTATGTATTTACGCATGTGCACTCATGTATATTTGAACACATGAGATTATGTAGTGTTACTCTATACATTCGGGCAATAACATCATCCAGTAAGAGCCTTCACTAAGACTCACTGTATGATAGACTTTGATCCACACACTGTATCAGCAAATGTATTTATATGTTGATCCTGGACGGCTACGAGTCACCAGCGACCCTAAATCATATGGCCATTAACAGTGTAATTTGTACACAGTAAACAGTCTAGTAAACTTATTTGAATGGACACCAAGTTTACCGTAATCATTTGTTTGAAACCCATTGAGTAGATCAGTGCACTTGCATGCCTCTAGATGGAGTGTGTGTGTTATATGTGTTTAACCCCATGTACCAGTGTTGAGTTTAATGGATCACTGTTCCTGGAATGTATTTTGTTTTTACTGTAAAGCTGAAGTTTGTTTCCATACGATTAGATATTGTATTTCCTTATTCTTGATCATTCCTTTGCCAAATAAGTACATTGCGTCATCTACATAAATTGTGAAAGCTTCTGTAAACACGTTATTTTTCTATTTGCCTGGGATAGTATTAGCGCCAAGTTATTATTAATTTGTGTAGATGAGTACACTTTTAATAAAAAAAATCCGCTGGTGCATTTATTATTTTCTTATGGCAAGAGTAAGGTACATATTTGTAACTTTGTGTATTATGTAGTTAACTATGTTTGAGGCATTAGTGCTTTACACCATGAAGTAGGTACAGCACATCATAAAACTTAAGCTTTCAGAAATTAAAAACAAAAATAAGACCTCCTTCCCTGCTGCCTTACACATACTGTGGCTCTAACTCTCCTGTCCGTTGTGATTTTCCACCCTGTCCGACCCTCCACTGTGTCAGCTGACGTGTTCAAACAAAAGAACGTCGGTTTCCGCAGTTACAGACATCAAGATCTAACCATCTATTATTCTTCATCACTTCAAACCTCATAGTTTTCAATTCAATTAGTTTCAATGATAAATTATAATTAAACCCTTTCTGCCAAGGAGTATAATTAAATTAAAAGTATCGCAAACGTTTCCAAACGAACACTGGCGCACAACCCTGGTGCCCACAACTTATAGCATCCACATCGATACCTTTTCCCGGGCTACCTACCTCTTCTCCCTAACTTATATCCTCACCAGGCAGGAGTCCTCCTCTCCCTACTACACCATAACTTCATAACCCAGGTATGTAATGTATCCTCGCTGGCACCAGAATAGGAAGCCCATGTTATTCTCCGTTAACCTTACAACTTGCCCAAACTCTAGCAGTTAGTCTCAGTGCGGTTATTCGGGCGACCAGACCACACACATGCCGCCGGCCGCCCAGCACCTGCAGGGAGAGCGATAAGGGAGGGAGGCAGTGAAACTCACTCTCAGGACTCTACAACACCCCCGGGGAGAGAGGCAGAGTTTTAACCCTCACCCAGAACAGCTTACGTTTCTCCACGAATCAGATTTAGTTAGACAGCAGTAATGTGTAACACCTGGAGTTATTGTTATTATCAATTAGTTTAGAGTGTAATAACAGTAATTACAATTAACATGTATGCTTTAGAGAAACATTCTGTGTAGGACAGTGAGTGAGAGTTAGAATAAAGAACTATATTGTATTTTAATGATGGTGCTATATTGACGTTACCATTTGTTGAGCCTAAGGACAAAAAAAATCATTTATTCTTACTAATCTTGCGTAATTCAGTACACTGATTAGTAAATTAATAGTTGCCATTGAAATCACTGTACCGACATGTTTGATTGATTGATTGAAATAGACATGTCGTAACGGTCGCATAGTAAATTATTGGTATTTGGTAATTCTTAGAAACTTATGAGTATATGTCATAATAATTTTCAATGGGATCAAAATAAGGTTTCACAAATATTTTAATATTCAGGCGGTAGATATATTTTAAGAAGTCTGGGTTTGAGAGGAGTGCATGGTGGTGGTCTCAGTGGGTCTGGGTATCGCAAGTTGTACGTCTGTTTGGTCCGGAATTTTAATTTATAATCATGGTAATGTAAATCCGTTGGTAGTTAGTACGTACAGTATATACCCATACTAATTGGTAAATATTTCCGCTAATTTTTTTTTAATAACACTAAACCTCCAGCCATCCATTAACTTGAAAATAGTCATAGTTGTATAAACACGACCAAAAGAATATCCTATTTGAAGTTTAGCCACTCAAGTGCTACCTGGGCGGGCAAGTCCTTAGATGATTCATAAATGTTAAAATTGCGAAGGATCTTGATCTCAACTTTTAAAAATCTCGATCTCGGGAAAAAAATAGATTTCTTGCTCAAGTAAAGTATGAGGAGTCACCCAGACCTTAGCCTAATTCTCTGGTAACACATAAGTAAACACACTAGAGCTATAGCCACAGTCAGGTAATAAAAATACTATTTTTTGGGGTTACATATAATATAAAATTGATAACGATTAGGTAAAAAAATGTTACTCTCATATTTTAAGTAAATTTACTTTTTCTACTCCTTTAGGATCAAATAAATGTAAACATTCAAAGCCCGGAATAGAGGCAACCAACTGTCACCTTGTCAGTCTAAGATATCTGTTTTCAAATAGGGATTCAATTTTTGTTTTGTAAAGAAAAAATAATTTTACGTTATTTAGTATTTCCTGATGAGCCCTTTAGTTTTAGGTTACATTAAAATATATAGAAAACAATTTGAGGATTATATTTGATATATTCTAATAGAACTTTATCTTTGTATATTAATCTTGGTAACACGTACAGATGTTTCATGGTAGTGATAATTTTAGTCTAAGTAAAATATCACGTGAAACAGCATCTATTAAGCGATTACTCCACAATACAGATTTATCTCTACACGGTCATTATTCCCTTATCAAACTGGTGTTTTATTATGGGTACGGGTTTACTCCACCCACTAGTTAACGAGGGCATAATAAGGTTAAAAGCCTATAGAAGCTCGCCTGATGCTCAGTACATTCCGTGTTGTTGTAGCTAATGGTAATAATTTAACAAGATAAAGTCACTTAAGTCCGATGACCTGAATTAATCCAAATTTAAGTGTATTTCAAATGGGAAATAATATCAGGCATCCTTAACCATGGAAATTAGAAGCTGTTTTGATTAGTAGTCCAGACCAGGTGTGTCCGTCACTGATGGCCTTATAGGTGATGGGAGGTTCGCCCACATACACATCAGTCAAAATGAAACT